TTGGTAGGATGCACGCTTGACAAAACTTGTTTTCGTCATAAACTTGATCTTGATTCATCTCGAGTTTTAGATGATGGCCATGAGAAAAATGGTGTATGATTCCTTCAGTTATCCTCACAAACGGCTCAAATTCTTCATCATAAAGTTCTTCAGGTACTCCCTCGAGTTCGGGACCATCCCACAAGTCTATCCGCAATGCGCATCTTGAATGAACAGAATAATAATCACACTTGTTGCAAGAATAGGCACCATAATGGTTGGCAACCTCTTGACGACATACTCCGCATGCAAGACAAATTTCCGGATGGAAGAGAGGAAGTGAAAGAGATACGGTGTTTGTGACGAGATATCTTTATGACAATTGGGGAAAAGATACAATCTTCATGGACTACGAAGATGCATCGAAAACAGATATAGGTGGGAATAAGTTCTTTGACTAGGCCACAAACATTGCACGGTAAGAAAGCTTGTTTGGGGAAAAAGGTGAGAGGGTGGGGATGCCTTGTTTGGGTGGTTGATAAAACAGAGGCACGGTATTGGTTTCATCGCACAAACTGGATGCATATTTAGCTCATAGGTAAGACAATGATAAAACATGTTATTGATTTATGTTTTACAACATGTGCACCTCAGACTCTCGTAGATATAACTGGGAGGATTGTAAAGTTGGAGAGGAAAAAAAGGATAGGAAGGGTGTTTGATATCATGTGGAGACTCCACACACTCTTTGTGGAACATTTTACCACATGTGACACATGAATAATACTCTGTACCAAGCTTTGAGCTTAAGCATGCACCACAACAGAATTCGTCATTATTAGGTTCTCTATTGTTGCACCAAAAGAGAAGGGATACATGGACCTTACATACATCCTCATTGTTGTCTGAATCAAGCAAAGACTGGACTTGTTGATCAACGCTTCTTCTTATGTTGGGGAAGTGAGGGGACGTGTTAAAGAGGAGAATGTCTTTGCGATATTATACAGTACTTCTCTTGTTTTAACTCTTGTTTTAATGAGACCATCCACGTTGCACATAAAATGTGGATGTCTCTAAATAAAAAAATATTAAAAACATACTCTCTCTTCTTTTTACTCAACTTTATACCTTCTCTTTCATCTTTTTACTCAATTTTTATTAATTTTATATTTAAACACACTCTAATTTTCATCCATTCTCTCTCCAACTTTGTCTTCCCATACATCTCAAAAGACATTCTCTCTCCAATAATACCCACTATCTCATCTCTTTACTCAAATTTTATTAATTTTATATTTCAATACACCCCATTATTTCAAACAAAAACATTCTCTTTCTTCTTTTTACTCAATTTTTAATAATTTTATATTTAAAAACACCTATAAAATATAACCAATGCGGATGCTCTCATCTCTTTCTTCCTTTCTTCTCATATATACCACGTCAAGATACAGCTAATTTTATATTTTATATGTTTATAATTTGTTATAGAAAGCCACTCATTATTGTTTTTGAATTATCTCTGTCTAGTCCTTGTTTATTGATTTCCTTTTCTTTATGTATAAACGAAATCGATGTGAATAGTACCTTTCTTTGGATGCTTGATTAATTTAATCGTAATAAAATATTACCTCTCTTTGTCGGGGAGAAAAAAAAAGAAAAGTCGTTTAATACATAAAGTCAAACAAAAAAATTGGAGTTAGTGCTCCCCACAACCCCATTATTAATTAGAAAATTTGGCAAGTATAAACAAGAAACAAACTAAACTTGATAACTAACCAAAACTCCATCATTTAATGCCTGTAATTTCGCTACGTAAGAAGATTTTGGTTAGTTTTTAAATTTGTTTTTTCTTGCTAATCATCAAATTAGCCCTATTAATTAACTTCTAAATGAAGAGGAAACTCCCACTTGGAAAATAATACGGTAGTTTTGGAAGCTGGAAAAGTAGCATATAGTAATATATGGATTACGTTTTGTTGAGTTCTGATTGGATTTAAAGAACTCTTTTGAGATTTTTATCTGTAGCAAATTAAAAATGAAAAACTGAGTTCATACATAATTGATGACCAAAACAAATCAAACAAGGTGAGACTGGAAAAGGAAAAAACATAGAAAAGTACAGATCTTGAAGAAGACAAGAAACCAAAACTATATATTACATGTGAGATGTAGAATATTACAATGCGTTTTAATAAAAGTAAAGATTACAAAACATAAACAACCATACGGAGATGCCGAGGCAAATGGGGAATGATGATAGCGGATAAGAGACTGATGAAGCGTGTCATGGCGATGACATTTACCCAATCTAGTTAAGGTAAGAAAAATAGTAATGACAATCGTAAGAACAAAATGTCACGTTTTCCTTTTCGAAAACTACTTTGTCTCTACAACGGGCTTCATCATGGACATGGCAGAATGGTCGAGACATGGTATTGTTGCGAAGAACATGAACCTTCTCCCGAAAAACCATTATGGTTTGACCAGGTTTCATATATGGATCTTTTCCAAGCAAACAATTAACATGAAGAGTGGTGCAGCAATAGTCATCGCATGAATAATACCCTTTTTGTCTTGAATATATCATTTCTCGTTCGCATATCTCGCACCAGCCTGATTCATCATTTCCCTCTTTCCTTTCCCGAAATGTGAGGAAATGTTTGTCATGCTTATACATTGCCTTGTATGGTAAGGTAGCACATTTGAAACATATAATATAATCGCATTCAATGCAATTTAGCTTTCTACGACGATGATAAATACCATCAGCAAAATGACAGATTTGACATCTTGCCGATTCTTCTTCTTCTGGCGTCAAAGCTAGGAGTAACGAATGCTCATGGCCTTCGTATTTAAACGGTTCAGAAACAAAAGCACACCGTAAGTCTAGTGTAAAATCATTAGTGGGATCTTCATAGACGAAACCACAACTTTGACGCTCACAAGCACCACAAGTGAAGTGACCTTCGTTCCGCGCATATTTCTTAGTGACAACCTTTAGCGTGAGTGGATGGGCATGCAAGGGGTGATGTTTCTTGATGGGCGCATTGGCACATGTTTCATGTAGGATGAAGTCACATTGATCCATACATGAATAATACATACCCTCGTAAATGGGGAGAGCGCACGCTTGACATAACTTGTCATCATCATAAACTATACTGATCCCAAGCTTTAGATGATGAGCATGAGAAAAATGGAGTATGATTCCATCAGCTATCTTCTCAAATGGTTCCACAACTATATCTGGTTCTTCAGGTACTCCTTCGAGTTCTTTCCCATCCCACAAATCTCTCCGTAACGCGCATCTTGAATGAACAAAATAATCATCACACTTGTTGCAAAAGTAAGCGCCACAATCGTTGTCAACCTTTTGACGACACACTCCGCAAGAAAATCTTCCAGATGGAAGAGAATAAGTAAAAGAGATACGATGCTGGTGACGAGATATCCTTATGACATATGGGAAATAGATACAATCTTGATGGACTACAAAGACACATCGAGCACAGACATAGGTGGGAAAAGGTTCTTTAATCACACCACAAACATTGCAGAGTAAGGAATTCTGTTTGGGGAAAAAGGTGAGAGAATGGGGATGCCTTTTGAGGTGGTCTATGAGAATGGGTATTGGCTTCATCAAACAAACTTGATGCATACTTAGGTTATAGGTAGGACAATGATAAACCATGTGATATATAGTTTTTCTACAAGATATGCAACTCCAATAGTGGTCGTGAGAAAGGGGAGGAGTGTAAAGTCGGAAAGAAAGAAAAGGATAGGAAGGGTGTTTGATCTCAAATGGAGCCTCCACACATTCTTTGTGAAAGATTTCATCACATGTGGGACACAAGTAATAGTCAGTGCCGATCTTTGGGTTTCGGCATGATTGGCAATTTAAATAATGATCGACAGGATAAGGTTTTTCATTGTTGCACCAAAAGAGTGGAAGTAGAGGGAGCTTACAGATTTTATCATAATCATAGCCATCAGAATCAAACAGAGATTGGACTTTTTGATCAACGCCGTTGCTTATGTTGGGGAAGTAAGGAGGAGTATTGAACGGAAGAACGTCGTCGTCACTAGAATAACCAAGCTCCTTTAGTTTTAACTTTTCAACTTTGCGACGAAAAGAAGGACAAAAGAAAAGAAGAGGTTGAGGTGGAAAGAGGTCGTTGTCGCAACCGGAATCAGTGGGTGCTTCACCGGAGGAGGAGGAAGAAGAAGGGTTGTGTGTTTGAGATAAGTAAGTGAATAAGTGAAATGGTTTTCCATTGATTTCTCCCTCATGAAATACACCGACTGAATCCATGGCTTAAGAATATGGTTGTAATGTTCATCATCTCTTTCTTCCTTCCTTACCATATATATACAACGTGAAACTACAGCTAATTTTACATTTTATATTTTTAGACACAAAAATCGTTTAATAAGTTTACAATTAGTTTGTTTT